TGCTGCATGGATTCTGTTTGATATGCTACTTTTTTCCCTTCCATGGAAAGGTGAGTACATCCTCGAACTTCATCTCGAAACTTCACACAAACCTGGATGGAACTTGGACAACATGAAGGGGCCATGGGCATGGTGTGTTCAGTGGAGAACTATTCCGAAAACAGGGTGTCATTCGCACTTACTCAATTCAAATTTGAATACATTTCGTGAATAACTTACCTTGACATTCCGTCGTCTCCAAAGCAGTGAACTTCCCAAAAAAAATTAAAAGCCACGGCTCAACCTTAGGCCGATTCCACACTACGCCGAAAGTGGCTTTGCCTTGAAGGCATAAAGTGGCTTATAAAGTGAAGCTGCATTCACACCTACAAGTGTCGATCACGGGACTTTGCTTTGAAGGTACTGGTTAGACTGTGAGGCTTTCCTGTGCTTGATCTAGCAACGGCGGTAGTGGAGAGGCTCTTTGTTGGGCCAAATCCTCGAATATCACCCATTTTCGCGTGCCCAATCTTGAAATTTGACCACGCTAGCGCGCGCTGTGTAGGCGGATTCCAGATCATAGGTCGAATATTTGTCAACCTCGCCAACAGGCATTCCGGTGGCAGTTTTCGTTGTGTATGTCTCGTACAGTCCTTTCGCCTTCGTTTTCATGTTGTCGATTTTGGAATGGACGATCGACGCAGTATATTGCCTCCTCCCGGAGCTGTTCAGCAAACAAATTCAGCTTGATGGCGATCTCCTCCGGCGTAGCTCCTGCGAACTGTACCGGCCGGAGGTCGCCTCAAATATCCGTTCCAAAGCTCGATCAGCTTGCCCTCAAGCTCCTGGCTAAACATGACCCTAGGCATTGTTGACAGCTCACAACTCACCACAACTGAAAGATACGACAGGGAACACATTCGGAAAAAAATCGAAAGGCTGAAGAAAAGTCAGAAAAGTGTCCTGAAAAGGTAAAAAGTTGCCTTGAAAGAGGGTGCTGGTGTTGCTTTGTAGACAACAAGCACTTTTCACTTTCGCGCGTTTCTCAAAGTGATCGCCATGGCAACTTGCCTGAAAGTGCCTGAAAAATGGCTTTTTAGGCAGGATTTGGTGTAGTGTGGAATCGGCCTAAGGTAATGCGTGGTACGTATCAGAAACAACCAGCTTTCGCTCTGGAGATCCAGAATAGGTCTCGAAGCATAGCAAAAACAATTGAGAAAAAGAAGATGACGACGACGTTTCAATCACGCATCAAATTTCGCGGGTCGAGTGCAGCAATCCTCGGATCGTGAAATGTGTGGCGTGTCGCCTCCCGGTATTTTACGACTCCCTGGGCAGAAGGAGGGGAAACGGGGGTAGGGGGTAATGGTGCAATTATGGGGGTTATGAAGTGTGTATGAACTATTGCATGCAGGGGTCGAGATCCAAACATGGGATGCGTATAACAGATTGTATCCGTCCGATCGAAGTGATCTGGTCGGCGAGGATCGGGATCCAGTTTCTACAATCGAATGCAGCCTAAAGTCTCGATGGAACGCTTGAGGATGGACTGTTATTATTATTAATATCTATTAAATTTTTAATAGGGCATTCCCACAGGCCTAAAGGCCGATTCACAATACAACTTTCTGCGACGCGACATGCGACTTGCGACACATGCGACGAGCTGCGACAGCGACACACGGTTCACAATATTCTTCATGTTTGCGACATCCTCATGCACAAGAAGTACTATGCACGTGCACTGCACGTGCACCCAGGGTCGAAACTGTACTCAATTTGTGTATGTCGCGTGTCGCATGTCGCAAAAGTTGAACTTTCTTCAACTTCTGCGACAGGTGCATTGCGACAGCTTGCGACAGCTCGCGACAGGCAATTTCTTGTCGCAAATCGCGTGTCGCGTCGCAGAAAGTTGTATTGTGAATCGGCCTTAAAGCGGGATTCACAGAAGCTTTTTTGCGATGCGACACGCGATGCGACGCGATCTGCGACGGACGCGTGCGATGCGAACTCGCGAAATACCATTCACAGAAGAAGTCAGCGATGCGACACATTTTTGCAAAGTCTTGCTGATTTGAGTACGTCATCATGATATTTGCGCGGTTTGGTACAACCTGTACAAATTTATAGGCAACTCTTGCACCTTTGTACAACTTTGTTGTAGAAAAGGTCAAAATCGTACGCCAAATCGCTTGTCGCATCGCAAAAGTTGAGCCAAGCTCAACTTCTGCGATGGCCCAGTTGCGGCAGTTGCGTGGGGTGCGACATGGCTGCGATTTGGGGTTTTCCCGGTTTCGCGCCTGTCGCATCGCAAAAAATCTTCACAATACAACTTTCTGCGACGCGACACGCGATTTGCGACAGTTGCGACAAGAAATTGGTCGCGAGCTGTCGCAAGCTGTCGCAATGCACCTGTCGCAGAAGTTGAAGAAAGTTCAACTTTTGCGACATGCGACACGCGACATACACAAATGGAGTACAGTTTCGACCCTGGGTGCACGTGCAGTGCACGTGCATAATACTACTTGTGCATGAGGATGTCGCAAACATGAAGAATATTGTGAACCGCGTGTCGCTGTCGCAGATCGTCGCATGTGTCGCAAGTCGCTTGTCGCGTCGCAGAAAGTTTTATTGTGAATCAGCCTTAAAGGCCGATTCACAATACAACTTTCTGCGATGCGACTTGCGACACATGCGACGAGCTGCGACAGCGACACACGGTTCACAATATTCTTCATGTTTGCGACATCCTCATGCACAAGTAGTATTATGCACGTGCACTGTACGTGCACCCAGGGTCGAAACTGTCCTCACTTTGTGTATGTGGCGTGTCGCATGTCGCAAAAGTTGAACTTTCTTCAACTTCTGCGACAGGTGCATTGCGACAGCTTGCGACAGGTTGCGACAGCTCGCGACAGGCAGTTTCTTGTCGCAACTGTCGCAAATCGCGTGTCGCGTCGCAGAAAGTTGTATTGTGAATCGGGCTTAAAGCGGGATTCACAGAAGCTTTTTTGCGATGCGACACGCGATGCGACGCGATCTGCGACGGACGCGTGCGATGCGAACTCGCGAAATACCATTCACAGAAGAAGTCAGCGATGCGACAAATTTTTGCAAAGTCTTGCTGATTTGAGTACGTCACCATGATATTTGCGCGGTTTGGTACAACCTGTATAAATTTAGGCAACTCTTGCACCTTTGTACAACTTTGCTGTAGAAAAGGTCAAAATCGTACGCCAAATCGCTTGTCGCATCGCATCGCATCGCAAAAGTTGAGCCAAGCTCAACTTCTGCGATGGCCCAGTTGCGGCAGTTGCGTGGGGTGCGACATGGCTGCGATTTGGGGTTTTCCCGGTTTCGCGCCTGTCGCATCGCGTGTCGCATCGCAAAAAAGCTTCTGTGAATCCCGCTTTAGGCCGATTCACAATACAACTTTCTGCGACGCGACATGCGACTTGCGACGCATGCGACGAGCTGCGACAGCGACACACGGTTCACAATATTCTTCATGTTTGCGACATCCTCATGCACAAGTAGTACTATGCACGTGCACTGCACGTACACTGCACGTGCACCCAGGGTCGAAACTGTACTCAATTTGTGTATGTCGCGTGTCGCATGTCGCAAAAGTTGAACTTTCTTCAACTTCTGCGACAGGTGCATTGCGACAGCTTGCGACAGCTTGCGACAGCTTGCGACAGCTTGTGACAGCTTGCGACAGCTTGTGACAGCTCGCGACAGGCAGTTTCTTGTCGCAACTGTCGCAAATCGCGTGTCGCGTCGCAGAAAGTTGTATTGTGAATCGGCCTTTAAAGCGGGATTCACAGAAGCTTTTTTGCGATGCGACACGCGATGCGATAGACGCGAAACCGGGAAAACCCCAAATCGCAGCCATGTCGCACCCCACGCAACTGCCGCAACTGGGCCATCGCAGAAGTTGAGCTTGGCTCAACTTTTGCGATGCGATGCGACAAGCGATTTAGTGTACGATTTTGACCTTTTCTACAGCAAAGTTGTACAAAGGTTCAAGAGTTGCCTATAAATTTGTACAAGTTGTGTCAAACCGCGCGAATATCATGGTGACGTACCCAAATCCGCAAAACTTTGTCGCATCGCTGACTTCTTCTGTGAATGGTATTTCGCGAGTTCGCACCGCACGCATCCATCGCAGATCGTGTCGCATCGCGTGTCGCATCGCAAAAAAGCTTCTGTGAATCCCGCTTTAAGGCCGATTCACAATACAACTTTCTGCGACGCGACATGCGACTTGCGACACATGCGACGAGCTGCGACAGCGACACACGGTTGACAATATTCTTCATGTTTGCGACATCCTTGTTAACAATACAACTTTCTGCGACGCGACACGCGATTTGCGACAGTTGCGACAAGAAACTGCCTGTCACGAGCTGTCGCAATGCACCTGTCGCAGAAGTTGAAGAAAGTTCAACTGTTGCGACATGCGACACGCGACATACACAAATGGAGTACAGTTTCGACCCTGGGTGCACTTGCAGTGCACGTGCATAGTACTACTTGTGCATGAGGATGTCGCAAACATGAAGAACATTGTGAACCGTGTGTCGCTGTCGCAGCTCGTCGCATGTGTCGCAAGTCGCTTGTCTGCGTCGCAGAAAGTTGTATTGTGAATCGGCCTTTAAGGCCGTTGATGCGAACAGGCGGATTATTCCAATTTATGCGATTCGTATGTAATTTGCCTCGAATTATGCGATTATTCGATTTTGGTAGGAATTATGCGAAAATTTTTGCTAGCATAATCCGTCAAGGCCTAGTTTTGTGTGAAATTTTAATTTTCAGCTATCACATTTCGTTAATTTCTTACTTTTTAGACGGGGTCCATGGACTAGAACACAATAACTTTTTTTAGAAAACTGGCATAAAGCAGTTTTTATTGCAATGTACAGGGACTTGGGGAGATGACACAGCACCGCCTTTTGTGCAGTTTTAGTTGCGTGGGACCCCGCTACCCTGCCTAAACATATCGCGCGGGCTGCGGGGACTACTGCGGCGCATGCGCACGTACTTGGTCTTGTTCGGGCCTGAAAGTTGGCATGTTTTTTTTGGTTTCCGTCTGCTCATGTTCCTCTCTTCGACTGCAATCGTTTGGCATAAGAATTACCCGCAGAAGATGATGAGCACGATGGCAATGTCACGGCCTGTGTTCCCATCCTTCACTTTGCTGACGGCTGTGATTGGAGTTTTGGCGGCTTGTACGTTGCTTGATGTGCGTGCTGCTACCGGTGACGAGGCCTACGACTACGAGTCGTACAAACAAAGGAAGCAAACTTGCCAAACGGCGTTCCTTGCATTCGGCTTGTCTCTACCCATCTGCAGACGCTATTGTGGATATCTCAGCTCTTGTGATCATGGAGGATATTGCAACCCCGGGGGAGATTGCCTGTGTCCACCCAGATACCGTGGTACACAGTGCAAGACAGATCGCTGTTCTTCAGGAACATGTTACTGTCCTCGCGGTCTGACAGGAAAAGACTGTACGGAACCTGTGGGATGCACGCAGGCATGTTTGAATGGTGGAACCTGCATCAGTGAGACTGACCAATGTCTATGTCGACCAGGATGGACAGGAGGAAACTGTGGCCAGAGTGCGTGCGCGAAGCAGTGTGCAAACGGGGGCTCCTGCGTGGGCACTAATAGCTGCCAATGCCAAGTCGGCTGGGCAGGTGATCAATGCCAGACTAGTCTATGTACGGCAGGGTACTGCCAGAATGGCGGTTCCTGTATAGGTACTCACCTGTGTCGCTGTCGCAAAGGATTTACAGGGTCACGATGCGAGAACAAAGCCCAGACCATGTGTACATCAACAACAACGGGACGTGTCAGCTCTTGGGTTGCACTCAACTCCTCAATGGCTTTGTCACCGGCAAAATCTGCTTGTGTGGAAAGAGGATTCGATCTGATGAATTTCGAAGCATTCACCATGGAGAATCGACCCTGTGTGGAAGACTTACTCATGCTCATGCTTAAGTCGCATAGCTTTGGAAGAAGACTGTCACTGTGGACATCACACATTCATCTAAAAACGCGCGTCGTTTACCTTCACGACGTCCATCAGCATAGAAGTGTGAGTCTTGTACCACCAGAGCATACACTTTCCCCTCACTTGCGCTACGATGTGTTGTGCTCCGGGTTCTGGCAGATCAGCACAGGTCAGGGTTTCTCCATTGCCAGATTGCACAAGGCTGCCCGCAAGGTCACACCAGAGCACGGTGAGACGGCATGTCACTCAATTGGCCATTATTTCCCTCCCATGAACATCCTAAAGGCTATGCATGATGACTTTAAAAGGGAATTAAACAGTATTCTTGGTCACACCGTCAGTGGAATGTCCTGGCTTGGAGCACTGTACTCGACATCTCCCAGCCGCATAGTGCTGCTGGAACATAAAACTACTGAACAGTGGCTACTAGATGGTTCATCCTTTGCCACTCCTTCTAACCACTATTCCCTGCTTTGTTTTAAGCTGTGCGTGAATGGAAGATTGAATTCCAAATCGGGTCACTGTGATTGCTATACTGGCTATACTGGAGAGCGTTGTGAAAACAGAATACTCCACTGCAAGAATGGAAATTTCAATTCAACATCGGGTCACTGTAATTGCAGTACTGGCTATACTGGAAAGCTGTGTGAATCCATCTGCAATAATGCTGGTACACTGGAGAGTGGGCAATGCATGTGCTGGGGTAAACACAGCGGGCCGCAGTGTCAATATGTGAAGTGTGACTGCGGTAAAGGATGCAAGTATCACAAATCTTCCGCGTATCGTGGCGAAATCTATGAAGTACAAGCAAAGAATGCAAATGTGATGATAACTCTGGCCAGTTCAACAAACCGTGCGATGTGAATAGTTGTAATATCGCATGTGGTCCCGGACGGAGGTGCTGGATCGTGAAAGCATTCCAAGATTTTCGCGGCATTAAGAGCACGGACCAATGGCAATCATGTGTGGGACGTTAGTGCAGCGTCTCACTTGCTGTTGTTTACTTAATGACAGTACTGACAGACCGCTGTGTGATGTTACTGCTCATCAGGGATATCAGACGTGTATCAGGACTCTGGAGCATTTGAAAGTCGAAACAGACTGCTGGCATGTTGTCACTAGTGATGTGATGACAAATTCCACCCTCCAAGAAACTCTCAAATTCCAGCGGCAACAAGTGAAGATGATTCCACTACCTTGTGCAGCCCTGGTCAATTACTGTCCAGTTTGTTCTGTATTGGCCTTTTCTTTCCTCCCATCCTGTTTGCTCTTGTCTTTCCTTTTCCTTTGTCTTTGTCTTTCATTGCAAGCTGGGCCGTTGTGATTCCTTTAAAACTACAGTTGAACATCGATTATCCGCACATTGACTATCCGACCATTCGGTTATCCGTAACAGTTTTTTTGGGCGCACGTGCCGTAGAGTACGCACTGTGCATGTAGTGAGCCATTCAAAAAATACGAAAATTTTAAAAAGTAAAAAGGTCGTACATGTACATGTACATGTTTCTTATCCGGAACATTTGCCTTATCTGAACACCGCCTGACAGTTGTCTGCCCAGAGGTGGTCGGATAATCGATGTTCAACTGTACTTGTAAGTTAGAAGGAAACAGTGCCAGGTTCTGTCAAGATTCTGTGAAATGAAATGAGTTGTGAATTTGCAGTGCCCAGGGAATGAGCACGTGTGCTCACCAATTCTCTTTGAGTTATGAAGCTGCAGGACGCCTCACCCCTACTACATTAGTGCCAGGTTGTTTGCAGAATTACTCCATTTCCCCGATTATAGTCGCACCTTTTTACACTAAACTTCAGGGCCAACAAAAGCCTAGTTCACATTCGACGCAACGCCGACGGTACGGGACGTAAGGGCTTGTCGGGCGGGCTGGGGTGAGCTGTAAAATCCTGTACCGGATTCGTACGACACGACATGCAGCAGTCGTTGCGACGTTCAACGTCGAACGGCGCGAGTCATAAGGCACGGTCCGTGACGGGGTGACTTTCGGACCTATTTTCTCGTTTTTTGGGACTTCTTTTCAATTATTTCTCCTCGAAAGAAGCGGAACCAAGTTCACAATACCAGTTTTTCATGAAGACCAAAAAATTAGCCCTGAAAGTTGTGGCATTCAAATAATAGCCCCAGGAAATGATGGAATAGTTCGTCTGTCAAGCTTCTGAACTATCCCTAAATACGATAAGTGACATGAGATCTTATGTTGCTCTAAAATTTCAACTCCAGTCGTGCTAGCCATTCTGTGAGTTATCATGGGAAGCGCAGTGTTCGAAATTCTAAAAATTTCCAAGTACGAATCGGGAGCAGTCGGCGCACGACGCCGTCTCCTGTTCACACTCGAATTGCAGCCGTTTTGTACGCTTGCGTCCCCGTCTACGCCCGTCTACGGTTTGAAAAGTTGGACCGATCCAACTCTTCCCGTCGCTTCCCGATCTGTACGGTAGTACGGTTGCGTTCCCGTTACTGGTGTTCACACTGGACGCCGTCAGACCGTCCCGTTGCTTCCCGTCGATCCTTACGTCGCGTCCCGTCGCGCCCCGTCGAATGTGAACTAGGCTAAAGGGGCTGCGACTTACAATCGAGTATGATAATTATTTTACTGAAATGAATGTATTGAAACGATATGACATGGACCTGAAAATAGGGATGCGACTTACAATCGGGGAAATACGGTACTCTATTTCCCAGGTCTTGTCTACATCATACCAAAACAAAAATTGAATAGAAGTCAGAGCGGTCGGTTGCAATTCGGGAAGCACTGGCCTGATGATCGGGCAGAGTGAAACTCAGAGTTCCAAGCAACATCTGCACGACGTTGGTGTTAAAGAGCTCTGAGCTCTGGACCGGGGTATTGAGAGCTCTGGACCGGGGTATTGAGAGCTCTGGCCCCGGGTATTGAGACCTGCTTGAGATGTGCATGCCGCTATTATACCTGTATTGTGCAATTGCAAAGTAAATTATAGCAATAAAAACTGCTTTATGGCAGTTTTCTAAAAAACGTTATTGTGTTCTAGTCCATGGACCCCGTCTAAAAAGTAAGAAATTAACGAAATGTGATAGCTGAAAATTAAAATTTCACACAAAACCTCACAATAATCACAACACTTGAAATACTGCTTTCAACACTAAACTTGTACTGCACCAACAATTGGCAACATGTATGCATAGGAAAGAGGATCACGAGGGGAAAAGGTCTTCTTCATGTAGCTTTTCATTCTGTGTGTGATTATTGTGAGGTTTTGTGTGAAATTTTAATTTTCAGCTTTCACATTTCGTTAATTTCTTACTTTTTAGACCGGGTCCATGGACTAGAACACAATAACTTTTTTTAGAAAAACTGCCATAAAGCAGTTTTTATTGCTATAATTTCTTTTGTTTTTTCTGTCACCAATCAATGGAATGCCCTCGTATATCAATATGTAAATGATGGCCTTCACATCATATCAAGAGTACATGTACATAACCCCAAGAGTGTGCAACTGCCTGCACAACCTCTATTGTAGCAATAAAAACTGCTTTATGGCAGTTTTCTAAAAAAGGTTATTGTGTTCTACAGTAGAGTCGCGCGCTGAAGAACGCGGAGCCCAAGAACGTCCAGCCTGAAATTCTAAGAACACCACAGCCTACAGTAAAGCTAAGAACGGCGGTGGTGGTTTTCTGGCAGCTTGTGGAATACATATGATCCAGTACGGATTGTTTCTAAGAACGTGCTACAAGAACGCAGCCAGATTGCAGAAAAAATAAGAACGTCCCAGGTTAACCCCTTGGAAACAACGTTCTTGGGCGCGCGACTCTACTGTAGTCCATGGACCCCGTGTAAAAAGTAAGAAATTAACGAAATGTGATAGCTGAAAATTAAAATTTCACACAAAACCTCACAATAATCACAACACTTGAAATGCTGCTTTCAACACTAAACTTGTACTGCACCAACAATTGGCAACATGCATGCATATGAAAGAGGATCACGACGGGAAAAGGTCTTCTGCATGTAGCTTTTCATTCTGTGTGTGATTATTGTGAGGTTTTGTGTGAAATTTTAATTTTCAGCTATCACATTTCGTTAATTTCTTACTTTTTAGACGGGGTCCATGGACTAGAACACAATAACTTTTTTTAGAAAACTGCCATAAAGCAGTTTTTATTGCTATAATTTCTTTTGTTTTTCTGTCACCAATCAATGCCCTACATGTACAATATCAATATAATATAAATGATGGCCTTCACATCATATCAATCAGGCGAAGCGCCAGCACCCCAAATCAAGACTTTTTTATTTTCCGTGGCGGGAAATCGAGCTTTTCCAGGTATCTACAGCCTGTAGAAATTCAACGCTGAGAATTTCCAACTATTGTCCGGCTTTGGCCCTCTGCCACCGACCTATCCTTTGAAGGAGAATGCTGAAACCAGTTGGTTGCTCTTCAGTAGTTCTTTCTCTATCGTACACATATTTTTGTATGTCGACACATGCTGTGTGCGACGACGTAGACACTTCTCAACACTTGAGTGACTTGAATTTGGCCATGATGACCGAATGTCATTGGACCGTGGAGTCGAGTAGAGGGCTCAGGCTCGATCGGCACAACGGGTACGTATAGCACAAGGGTAGGGCTAATGATATATCAAGTTGTTTGCTGTGCACAACCTTGGGGCGGAATTCGGCACGAAATTCTCTGCTCGCCAACTGTTGAGTATACCATGCAATACGTAGGTTTAAACTCATGTTGCAGTGCTATCACGGTTGCAACCCTCTTTCAAATGTTGACATAGCCAACAACCACATAATCCATATCAAATCTTGCCCCTTGTTTTCTTTCTAAGTGTGAAAAATAGAAATAATACCAGTCCTAATCATTGGAAAATGCAAATCACGGTCTATTATCGACACATCGTACTGTCGCGGACATGGAAATCCAGTCGATTGACCGGGGCCGGCACCCTCAGCACGTACAGAACGTTGCATGCAGTGCACATGTTGATCCAATGCGACCATCAGCAGCGCATGATAAACCGTGCTACGGCTGCATGGCCAGCGCCCTGGGGCCGCTATACGTGCGACCGGATTTCCATGTCCTCGACAGTAGTACCATGCAGCCTGGTAGTGCATTTGGAGCAGGAAAGTGAATGGTAGCACTGCGGTGGTGAACACATGAGCTGATGATAACCATCGTCGTCTTGTTGGTTTGTGTTGTCTCCAGTTCATTGCAGGTTGAACGAGGAATGAACGTCTACTCTTTCTTTCCAAAACTGGCTGGGCGCACGCCAATGAGACGGAAGCTAGTGCCAAACCAGTCCTTGGAAGTTTTGTTGTGCTGCTGGACTTTCAATCATCATGTAAAGTATATTCCGGTTTCTGAGTCTTCGTGTGCGCCTGAAGAGCTACACTGTGTAGAGATGTTGGAAGTTTATCCTGCTCACGACACTGCACCAAGTACAAGCACTTCCTCGGCACTGCCTGAGCCCTGTTCTGTGTTTACTGTGACCAGGAGAAGCAACTAGAAATTTGGAGCTTGAGCTGGAACGCTGGTGCTCTCTCTCTCTCTCTCTCTCTCTCTCTCTCTCTCTCTCTCTCTCTCTCTCTCTCTCTCTCTCTCCGTCACGTTCTGCCACTGTCCGAAACCGGTGCATGTGCTAGCATGTCGAAGCGCATTGTGTCTGAGTCAATCACTCACTCTCCTGCTCCTCCCTCATATGCCCAAGACAGTATGACCAACTGTGAATACAGTTCGCGCCCACATGTGAACTTGTGTGGTTCTCTTGTAGTAAGCTGCCACGTGTGTACTTGCACGTGTTGTGTACATGTGTGTGTGTGTGTGTGTGCGTGTGTATCTATGGGACTGCGTTCTCCTATTCTCTCTCCGGTGCCTTCAAGGCCCACGCAACCCTTGTGGCAGTGGCTCGACAGCACAGGGCAGGAGTGTGCGCGCGTGCATGTGTATATGTGGGTGTGTGTGCGCGCGCGCGCCCGTGTGCATGCGCATGTGGGTGTGCGCGCGTGCATGCACATGTGTGTGTGGGTGTGTGCGCACGCTGATGCTCAGCTCTCCAGAATGATGTCCGTGTGCGTAGCCAGTGTATGGTGGCAACATAGCCTTCCTTCATGTATATGTGTATGCGCATACTATTTGGGATGCTTTACTGTTTTTGGTGGGATCCAGTTACATAGTTTTCTGTTCAATTATTTATGTTTATACAGCTGCTGTATGCATGTATTTGTAGTGCAACTTTCTGTCTTTCTGCTGGTCAATTTGTCGTCTTGATGGTGTTCTAATACTGATATACATAGAAAATATTACCCTCAGAAAGTGTGCTCGTTGTGAAGTTGTCCTTCTTTGGGCTCAAACCATTGCTCGTGTATAGGTAGATACATATCAGTGGGTTCGATTGGTGGCGAGAGGTCAGCCTAAATTGTTTGGGGCGGAATTCGGCACGAAATCCACGCTGAGTACTTTTTGACGACGAGTTGCGTCGGTCTTGAAAACTCTGGCGAGAAAGCGAGGAAAATGATGTCGCTTGGAGCTTTCCGCGAAACTTAGGGCAGCTAATGCCCGCACCTTCCCAAACATTGC